GATTGTCTTGTTTCAAATAGATAGACTCGTCCGTAGACCTAATCAACTCCTTCTCCTTCTGCTCAATCCAGATTCTCCTCTCCTCACTCTTCGATGAAACCCTGCTAATTTGATCAGTTAGATTAGAGTTTGTGACACGAGTGTGGGTAAGACTACTACCTAAATAGAAAATTTAGATTTTAATCCATTTAGCTCATTTTCATAGTTAGTAATAGGTATTTTCAGAGAAATGAGAATATTTTGCACCTTCTTGATCAACTTGTCACATTCGTTGATCTGTGCACTAACAGGTTTCGCTGCGAAACATTTGTCCTCTTGCTCCTTCTCGTCATCCATTCCACCATCTATTATGTATCCTCGCATCTGTGACACACCTTCCATCACCATCAGACATCTTCCTTTAACCTTTTCTTCTTTCACCAGCAGAGCCTTGCCATAAGTGGGCTTTCTTACTTCTTCATCCTCTGAATCTGTGGACCACACTTGCACTCCACCAAATTTTTCATTATCACCTATATCTTGTACAATCAAGGCATTCATGGTGTTATTGTTAACTACTGATTTATTTTTCTTGATCTCCTCCAATCATCTTAGAAGCTTCGCTTCCTCATCGTCTTTATCAACTCTTTCAGATTTCTTCTTTAGCATGCAGTCTTTTGCAAAGTGATTATTGCCTCCACAATAATGACAATCAAAACCTGAATCACCACCAATATTCGTTTCATTCTTAGATTCTTCATACTTTGAAACCATCCTCGGTTCCTCCTTCACCTTTTCAAAACAATAACTTCCCTGCCAGTTTCGGTTCTTGTTGGCAGGGAATTTCCTTTTGATAAACTTTCTTGGATTGGAAACCATTAGGGCATACTCTTCACCAGTTAGATCATAGTCAGCAAGATCTAAGTCTTCTTCTTCTTCAACAACACTTTTTCCTTTGGAAATAAGAACTAACGAACCCAAGCTGGAAACCACATTCGTTTCCTTTGACACCGCACTTTCATGGGAATTTAGAATTCCCGCCAGCTTCGCCAGAGAGTAGGATTTGAATTGTTCGTGTGCCTTCATTGTAGACACAACAGCCATCCATTCGGGTCTAAGGTTGTTCATGAAGATAACCTTCTACTCAATAACCTTCCTTTCGATCCCATGCTTTATCATCTTACTGAGGAGATGATTAAATTGATCAAAAGCCTGAATGAGTTTCTCTTCGGGCTTCTGTTTGAAGTCACCAAATTCAGAAAGCAGCAAAGTTTGAATCGAATGTTCCAGATCTTCATCAGTAGAATACAATTCCTTTAACCTATCATATATCTCTTTTGCTATGGCACAGGAACTCACCAATCGAAATGTGTCCGATTGTAAAGCAAACCTAATCATTCTTAAGGATTTAATGTTGCACTGAAACTTCCATTTCTCGTCTTGAGGAATGTCTTTCACATCATTCACGAGCTGATTGTACTCCTTTTGAGTTTTGACAACTTATGAAGTACTGGAGTGAGCAAACGGACCAACTGTGATTACTTCCTAGATCAAATACCCATTATCTTCTGAACCGATTACATAATCTTCGAAGTGGTGCGTCCAGACTTCATAATCCTGAGTATATAGGATTGGAATCCTTGTTGTTGATCCAATACTATTGGAGATGTTGATTGGATTGGATTGTGAATCGTCCATAGATGTTGTGATGACATTTGATCGATAACCTGTTTAAGATCAGACTTGTAATTTATCATTATTGCAAGATCAACAATTAATGAGATACGCCAATGAGGAATGACGGCATAATTAATATCAATCAATGTGGAAAACCCTAATAACTTCTTCAACAAAAGAGATGTGTATGAATTACACAGCCTCCAGCTTTGATACCAATTGAAGAGTTAGTAACTCTTGATCTTTTAGATCTATCACAGTTATATTAATGAAGAACAAACTATTGAATCGAACAAGACAATGAACACAATGTAGAATCAAAGTAAAGCTTATGATTCAAACATAGTCACGCCTCAGCAGAGCTCAATTAAGAACTTCCACTGTAGAGGCAAGCTAGGGTTTACAATACTATGAAGAGAATTATTAAAGTGTTACTTACTAAGGATGCATGCATGCACCTTAAATACTAAAACCCTAGAATAAAATAATGCACGGTTGGATAGGCCCAAACCGGTTACAAAACTGGGCTAAAAGGAACGAGCCCAAGACGCAACACTAAGATCCCAACAGTGGTACTTTGGGGAACTCACTAAGCTTTGTGCTTACAATTTATGTTTATGGTTTCATGTACTTCGTTTTCAAAAGGAATGGTTCGCCTTGATCGCACTGCATCCCCTCGAGTTTTATTTTGTACTGAATGTTTACAAATTACTATGATATTTTGAGAATACTTTGACTCTGATCGTCTTTTGGAACAATGAAAGAATGGCTTTAACTTATTTAAAAATGAAATTTTTACTCTGTATTTTTAGGACGTTACAGATAAGTCATTAACCTCTGAATAAGTGTAAAAATTCTAGTAGCAAGAAGGAGGGCAAAGGATTTGGTCACTACACAAACACCGAAAAATACTTTGTCACTTCCTTTGAACCACACCAATGCTCCAAGGATAGAAACCTCATTATGAACACACACACACACACACACACTCTCACACATACACACACACACTCTCTCTCTCTTTCTTTCTCTTTCTCACTCTTTATCTCTATCTCTTTCTCTCTCTCTCTCTCTCTCTCTCTCTCTCTCTCCCAACTCTCAAGATGATTGGTGGCTGCAAATAGGGTTAGATTCATAGATTTTAGGATTAGCATTGTTTACATACTCCATAAATTACAATCTAGGTCTTCAAAGTATGACAAAATAATTCGCTAATCCATGTACATGATCAAGAATCATTTTATTACAACTTGATCTCAATCACTTAACTTTAAACCAAGGAAAATGTTAATTTAATAAAGGAACTTAACTAAACACTAACATTGATAACGGAAGGGAAATTCACGTCATTACATCTTATCAATGTATATATCTTTTGTTTGATAACCAATTACATATTCATTATTTGAAATTTCAAAAAGTGAATATCAGAACCCGCTGAATATGTGATAATCAGATAACATTTGATTGATTTCTAATGCTCATATATAGACAACTTTATAGACCCTCAAAGTGACAAAGAACACTTTTTTCTTTATAGCTTAAGTGATGTGCTTTTGTTACTAAAAATGGTAATGTTGTGGAGATTTGTGATGTGTTCGTATTAATCTGAAACGATATTTTATTTTAGTATTATATTTTAAGGGTTTTTTTTATTTTTTCTATTTTTATGTATTTTGATTGATGTATATATGTACACGTGATTTTTTTTTCTAGAAACTGGGTGGATCCGACGGTTGAACAATTTAAACCAAGAATTGGTCATGAGACCGCTTCTGATTAAAAAACTGATTTTTAAAACATTACTTATAGGTATATGATAAAAAGTTTGGAACCGAAAACTAAAGGGAAAATGACATATATACCCTATTATGTTTCTAGGGTCGACCCATTTAGTCATTTAACTTATTTTATGGCTTTATAAGTGAACGAAATTGTTTTTGTTTGGTCGATTACATCCTTTTGACCAAAGTGACCGGGTCACCCAGTTATACCTTTGCCATATTGACATTTGATGACCAATTTTTCCACATTTGACTTTGAATTTTCCTAATTTTGACTATTTACATTGATTTTTCATTACCGAAACTTAAGCAGTCGAAATCAATCGGAAATTCAAATTTGCCAATATTTAACTTCGTTAATCAGCCATCCATAAAGATTGTTATCGGTGTTGGCGTTGAGACATAGAAACATCGAACTGAAAACAAATCAAATTGGGTGATTAAAGAGGATGCATGTGTGGAAAGTGAAGAAGAGGAGGATGAAGTGATTGTTTTTCCGGCCAAAATTGATTGATAATCTCTTTCAAAAAAAAATTGATTGATAATCAGATGGAAATGCCTATGCTAAAAAAATTAATCAAGAAGGGCTCAGAATGTTCAAAGTAAACATTTTGCGTTCCGGTTTTGGTGTATAATGTAGTCGAGCCGCCGTATCAAGAGACGGAAATCCCATTTGTTGATTCGTAACCAGTAGAGAAGTAATTAGCTTCGATCAACTTGCGGTTACAAGATGTCATCGGGAAAAACATACCTACTAGCGGGGATTGAAGTTGTATGAGTTCGATACTCTCCTTCTCAGGCCAAATCCTAATATCCAAAACCCTAATAACAGATCCGACCCAAAATATGACTCCTTCAACAACCCTACACTATTAGATGTCTAAAGCCAAACTCTGACGAACACTTGATATGCAGATGGCGAACTTGTTCGGGAATAAACAAGAGAACCCCAAAAGCATATTCAAGCTTGGAATCCTCTACAATAGACATCATAGTTGAGAAGCCATTGAATGCTATATTTGTGTTTATGAGTCAGAAATATTGAAGGATTAGAATCCTTCTAAACTCGAACAATGAATTTGATCTGCTTGTCTATCTGTACCAGAAACAATAAAAATAAGATGAAAAAGGTAAAGTAAAAAGTAGAAGTTAGCCATGGAAGATATTTAGATTTTCCGACCACCGTTGGTGGTAGTGAAATTGGGTTGAAATGAAAGTGGAAGAGATGAAGAACAGGTATTTGAAATTGTTGCAGTAGCAGTACATGTGAGCTAGAGTGAGATGGTTTGATTATTTAGGTGGACATATGATTAAACCTGCTACAATGGGTATGGATGACTAAAAAAACAGTTGTCTCTAAACTTATGCTCTTATAAAACCATAAAATAAATTAAATGACTAAATGAGTAAACCCTAAAAACATAATAGGATATATATATATATATATATATATATATATATATATATATATATATATATATATATATATATATATATCATTTTCCCAAACTAAATAATTGAAAATATTATGGACCATTTGAGTAATTTTGTAATTTTGTGATGGTCACTTGTTCAAACAAAGGACTCGGATCTCTTGGATCCAATTATTCCGTTTTCACAGTTCTAATTAATATCTGGAACAATCCAGAAACGTCTGTGCTCATCACCAGAACCTATAAATACGTCCCCACCTTCTTTCTTTACATAACAGCAAAGTTTCTGTTTCCAACTGCGTTGTGTATTCGTTCTCTCTATTTTCCGATCCGACTTAGTTTCGTGAAATTGTCTGTGAGAATGACCGGAAAAAGTGAAGGTCCGGCGATTGGAATCGATCTCGGAACCACGTACTCATGTGTTGGGGTATGGCAACACGACCGCGTTGAGATCATCGCGAATGATCAGGGTAACAGGACGACGCCCTCTTATGTTGCTTTTACCGATAGCGAGCGTCTCATTGGTGATGCTGCTAAGAACCAGGTCGCCATGAACCCGATGAACACGGTCTTCGGTAAGTTAACGTTGCCTTAATGTTTCTCATATACTTTTCTGTTAATCCGATCAATATTAGGTTGATCAATGCTTTTACGTGAGCGATGTCAGATTTTGTTCCGAAATTCTGGAATTCGTTTATTATAGTTTAGCTTCATAATTCATCGATGAATTTATGTGCAACTGAAAGTCCTTCAGAATTGGGCGTTTTATCTGCGACTTTGAAAGTTGTTCAGAATTTAATTGTTTATTAGCGTTAGATCTAATGTTTGATTAATTGAATTTTATCTCATAATTGTTTTTGATGACAAAAACAGACGCAAAGCGACTAATTGGTAGGAGATTCAGTGATGCATCTGTGCAAGACGACATGAAATTATGGCCATTCAAAATTACACCAGGGCCTGGAGAGAAACCAATGATCGGTGTCAATTACAAAGGGGAAAACAAGCAATTTGCAGCTGAAGAGATCTCTTCCATGGTGCTCATCAAAATGCACGAGATTTCCGAAGCTTTCGTTGGTTCATCTGTCAAAAACGCAGTAATCACCGTTCCTGCTTACTTCAATGATTCCCAACGCCAGGCCACCAAAGACGCCGGAGCTATCGCTGGTTTAAACGTGATGCGTATCATCAACGAACCCACTGCTGCAGCCATCGCTTACGGATTAGATAAGAAAGCCAGTAGCGTCGGAGAAAAGAATGTGCTCATTTTCGACCTTGGTGGTGGTACTTTTGATGTCTCACTCCTCACAATAGAAGAGGGGATTTTCGAAGTAAAGTCCACAGCCGGCGACACACATCTCGGCGGCGAGGATTTTGACAACAGAATGGTCAACCATTTCGTTCAGGAATTCAAAAGGAAACACAAAAAGGACATCACCGGAAACCCTAGAGCTCTCAGAAGGCTAAGAACAGCTTGCGAAAGAGCAAAGAGAACCCTCTCATCCACAGCTCAAACCACCATTGAAATCGATTCGTTATACGAAGGTGTTGACTTCTACTCGACCATCACCCGTGCCAGATTCGAAGAGCTCAACATGGATCTCTTCCGAAAATGTATGGATCCCGTCGAGAAATGCTTACGAGACGCTAAAATGGATAAACGAAGCGTCGATGACATCGTTCTCGTCGGCGGATCAACACGAATCCCAAAAGTCCAACAGTTGTTACAGGATTTCTTCAGCGGGAAGGAGCTTTGCAAGAGTATAAATCCCGATGAAGCGGTGGCATACGGCGCTGCAGTTCAGGCGGCGATTTTGAGCGGCGAAGGTAACGAAAAGGTACAAGATCTTCTTCTTCTCGACGTCACTCCTCTCTCACTCGGTCTAGAAACCGCCGGCGGAGTCATGACAGTTTTGATTCCGAGAAACACGACGATTCCGACGAAGAAAGAACAGGTTTTCTCAACTTACTCCGATAACCAACCCGGCGTTTTGATTCAAGTTTACGAAGGAGAAAGAACAAGAACAAGGGATAACAATCTGTTAGGGAAATTTGAACTTTCCGGCATCCCTCCGGCGCCTCGAGGTGTCCCTCAGATTTCTGTTTGTTTCGATATTGATGCAAACGGGATCCTTAACGTTTCTGCAGAAGATAAAGTCGGGGGAAAGAAGAACAAGATTACGATTACAAATGATAAAGGGAGATTATCGAAAGATGAGATTGAAAAAATGGTGCAGGAAGCTGAGAAATATAAAGCTGAAGATGAAGAGCATAAGAAGAAAGTAGAAGCTAAAAACGCTTTGGAAAACTATTCGTATAATATGAGGAACACCATTAGTGACGAGAAGGTTGCTTCAAAGATTCCGGCGAGTGATAAGAAGAAGATAGAGGATGCAATCGATCAAACGATTAGTTGGTTGGATGCTAATCAGTTGGCGGAGGTAGATGAATTTGAAGATAAAATGAAGGAGTTGGAGGGTATTTGTAACCCGATTATTGCTAAGATGTATCAGGGCGGTGGTGGTGGTGGTGGTCCTGAGGCGGCGGCGGCTAACTCTGGCACAGCTCCGGCAGGTGGGCCGAAGATTGAAGAAGTTGATTAAATCTGGTTTGTGTAACTCTTAATAAACGCGTTTACAACTATGTAAGCGAAAGATACTTGATGTTAATGCATTATCATCTTAGAGCAATGTTTTTAGCTTTAAACTTCACATACCAATTTTTAGGAGTTAGACGAGGCAATGTTATCTAATTTATTAGGAGGTGATAGCGGTTTATTTGTTATAATATATATATATATATATATATATATATATATATATATATATATATATATATATATATATATATATATTGTGTGTGTGTTTTATATTCGTTCACCACACGGATTAGCAGAAAACACTTCCACTACAAAACTACCTTTCCGTTCCAAATACTATAGAGATGTCAATCTGATTACAATTATAAAAAGATTACACGTTTAAAAATAGACGTATGAAGTTATTTTTGGGTTAAACTTGAAAGTGGCATAATAGTTTTGCCTTAAAATTGAAAGTATAATGCTATTTTTGGTGAAAAAGTAAAAGCCACATGCTACGTTTGGCTTAAAGTGAAAGTAGCATGCAATGTTTCGTTTTAAAAAGAAAGTAGCATCCTGTTTTTAGCCCAATTCTCAAAAATTAAAAATATGAATCTGAACAAAGTTGACAATTACCGAGCAAGGGCTTTAAAAGTCAAAATTGTACCTCTTTTTTTACAATAGTGAAGAGAAACTTGAACTCGAAACACATGTTGAGATTGTCAATATCTTTTAGAATAACTCCAGCAAAATGGTCATTTGAGACTGATGTCGCATATCTCCACAGTTATTTAATTAAAACAATGAAATCTAGAGGCTAGTCTTAAAACTTTATAACAACCAACACACTAATATAATTATACATCAACTATATACAAAAAAAAAATCTTCAAAATTAGCTTGTTCATTAAGTAAGCTATGAATTTACTAAACTACGACATTGAAATCCTTCAACTACACCTTTTGTGGATCACCATTCATGAAAACCTATGTTTTGGTCCATTTTTTAGTCGAGAAGTGACCCAAAAGCCCCAAAATCGGGTATTTTCGAATGCATAAAATCAACTTGTTGGAACCGTTGTGTTCAAAAGTATAAAACTATTATTGTGAATGTAGGTACCTATAGTTAAGAAATATGTATCGCAAATTGAAGAAACATTTTTTAGTTAAATCAAGAAAAAAAGTACCAAAATTGTGACACTCATTTCCTAAAATGATCATTTTAGGGTAGTGAATAGTCAAATGCATGTTTTTGGAGAAAACCATGAGTCACGATGTGACGGGTGAAGAATGAAAACGTGCATTAGAGCAGTGGTCACGACGTGACACATAGGTGGTCACGACGTGAAAAGGGCTACAACCCAAGCTCATGATCTTTTAGGGTTTGCTTCGTATTTAAACACCCTAAACATGAATTTAGGGTTCGTTTCTCAGCCTCCATCTCCCTTAAACCTCAAAAACCCTAACCCTAGTTCATCTTGGTGGTTTTGGCTCATTTTGAGTGGTTTTGGTGCTCTTTATTAAAGAAGATGGTCCATTTGGTGCATTGTTTCAGCAATCAAGCCTTTCCTCACCACATTGCATTGTTTCTGGAACTTGGTAAGTCCTAAAGCTCTTGCTTTTTCACTTAAGCATTCTAGATCTAAGTTCCATTCACTTTTCTTCATTTTTGGATTAGGTGGCATACATGGGATCCCTAAATTTAACAACTTTATGGATTATTGAGGCCTTTTATTTAGCATATGTCTCAGATCTAAGGATTGGTGGTGGTTTGGACTCCAATCATGAGTTTTTCGCCTCATTTTCCTTATTTTGACCAGAATCGGTAGAGGACATGCATAGAGCATGCATGTATATAAAGTTGGCATTTTTATGGACCTTTAGAGTCCCATAAAGCTTTTAAAAAAGTTGGAATTGAAGAATTAAAGGATTAAGGACTCAAACCATTAGGATTTTACTCCAGACAGTGGACACGTCATGACCAGGAGAGTGTCACGACACGACGATGGGAGGTCCCTTGACTAATTTGTTTGGATGTGTTTACAACATAACCATGGGGGGTTCACGTCGTGACGTTAGCTGTTGGGTTGTCCGTGACTGAGTTAGCTAAGTTGGAGCGTGGTCGAGTTGGAATCGAGTTGGGTGCATTCTCACAACGTAACCAAGGTCTGGCAACAACATGAGCTCCAACTGTTAGTATTGTTGGATGTTGACTTTGACTTTGACCATTGACTTTTGACCATGGTTGACTTATGGTCAAAATAGGGGTTTAGGGTGTAGACTTAGAGGGTACTTCTTTATTGCTGCTAGGTGTATCGGTGTACCTTTCTACCCATCGTGTGGGCGGTTGTGTGTTAGTTGTTATTCGTAAGGTAAGTCCTCTCACTATACTTGCATGGGTAGTAATATGTGTGTGTTGACCAGCTGGTCTTAACTGTTATATATAAACTAAGTTGTTGATAACTCCTAGATTGTTGTAAGTCTATGGGACCGTTGATAGTCCCTAGGGTTGTTGATAACTCATAAGGTGTGCTGTTAATCCACACGGCGTATTGTTAGCACATTGGGACTGCTGATAGCCCTCAGGATTGCTGATAACCCATAGGTGATTATTATGATGTGTTGTATGAGATATTTTGCGGGAACTCACTAAGATTTATGCTTATAGTTGTGGATTAACGATTTTTCATGTACTTATCAGATTGCGAAGGCAGGACTGTACACACACATCAACAAATTTATGATTGAGTTTCTACATTGTATTATTTAACTCTGATTCCTGAATAATGGTTATGTAACATCCCAACATTGAGACCCAAATTTTTTTTGTTTTAAAGTATATTACTTGTAAAAATAGTTAACGGAAAACAACATTGAAATCCTTTCAAACATAAAGTCACAAATCACAAGTCTCAAAACCATATTAGTAAATAGTATAATATCAGAGAAAAATCCTAGGTTTCTCAAATGCGGAATATCATGTGTGAATGTGTGATGCACTGCTACCCCGCCGACTCCTTCCCCTTAGATGAAAAGGTATCTGAAACCAAAAATAAAAACTGCAAGCACAAAGATTGGTGAGTTCCCCCATCATACCCATACCAAATAATGCATAATATTCGAGATCTTTCAACCGGTAACTGTTGGGCATAGCCAGGAGCTGGGCTCCTCCCCGGTATGTTTCAACCGGTAACCGGGAACTAACCTCCCCTTTGGTATCTTTCAACCAGTAACTGGGAGCTACCCTCCCCTTCGGTATCTTTCAACTGGTAACTGGGGACTATTTCACCCCTACTACTGCTAACACATATCAAGCATAATAATCATATCAGGCACAATAATCATATCTCATATCAACACTAGATAATTATCACAAAGAGAATCATCTATCCAGCACTCTTACTTGTGGACCGGCATTGTGGCAGTAGACCCACTCCTACGAAGAGAAAGCTCACCTAAAAGTCATGTAGTGTCTGCACTGATCTCGGCATGAAAACCAACTCTCCTTGAATCCTCAATCCCTACACAACAACTTTTCTAACTTATCAATTCATACTCGTAACCCTTACAAGGGTCAACTCCAGTCCATGACAAGGTCAAGGTCAACACCTTGGTCAATGGTCAATCATCTGATCAAAGTCAACATCTGGTTGACTCGAATCGTCGAGTTGGTTCACCAACTCGCCGAGTCCCCATATCCACAAAATGCCATAATCCTGTCCCTACTCGTCGAGTCTAGCAAGAGCTCGACGAGTTCGCCTTCAACAACACATCAGACTATCTTCAACCGAATCATCGAGTTCTTCCTTGAACTCGTCGAGTTCATCTTCATCCATATGAAGGTGTTCTGTAACGACCCGTTCCCGGTATGTTGATTTATTGGTAATTATAGTGAGTTTTTCAAGAGGGACTCGGCGAGTTCTAGCCTGACTCGCCGAGTAGGGTCGCGCCTGAGGGCACGCGTGAGCCGGGGACTCGGCGAGTCCATATCCCTGACTCGGCGAGTCCATCTGTCTGGGTGAAACCCTAAATTCCCCGGGTTGCCCACTATTTAAACCACCTTATAGCCCCCATTCTCGCCTCCCTCACCCTGAGAACGCAGTGAGAGAACCCTAATCCTCCCTTGAAGAGCTTATATGTGTTTTGGTGCCATTTTGTGAAGGTGTGAAGAAGGAGAAGAAGGAAGAAGCAAGGAGAAGTGTTGTAGTGCAAAGATCCAAGGCCAAATCAGAGTTAATTGAGGTATTTTCGGAGTTCCATCTTGTTATATGCTTTAAACTTCCATTAGAGCTCTCCTAAGAGCTAGTTGATGCTTGTTCCAAGCCTTACACTTGCATGAACGTCTTATTAAGTCGAAATATCTATGGATCTGAATGTTGGGGTGTTGTAGAGCCCAGATCTACTGTCTTTTTGGAGTTATATTGCATGATAACCATAGATCTACCCATTTTGTGCATCTTTTAGCCTTATTTCCCTTATTCATGAGGTTGTACACGTAAAGTTGGAAACTTTACGTGGTAAATCAGCTTATTGGACCAGATCTATCAATTGTATGTGTTGGATTCAAACAAAATCAAGTAAAAATCAGTTGCATGGCGGCAACTCGGCGAGTCGGAAGAACGACTCGACGAGTTGGGTCGCGAGTCCCGAGTTCTTCAGTTTTATCAGTGTCGAGTGACAGTGAGCTAGAGAGTGGACTCAGCGAGTTGAGGGTGAACTCAGTGATGGAGGGACTCGGCGAGTCCAAGGCAATCTTCTTAAAGATCAAGAACAACTCGTCGAGTTTGTTCATCCGGCTCGGCGAGTCGGATGAAGATTGTCTGAGTTCTTGGATCAAGAGGGTACTCGTCGAGTCGATGCCAGACTCGACGAGTAGCAGTGAGTAAGAGTGAAAAGTGAGAGTGGGACTCGGCGAGTTGGGTGGCCCAACTCGGCGAGTCAGCCCAAAAGATAATTGACTTTGACCGAGGGTAAAAGAGTCATTTTACCCCAAGCGCAGTGTTTAGTATTTGATTGAGTGTGTTT